AGCCCTGGTATAAACAATTATATTTGAATAGATAAAAAATATTGTTTACAATGACGGTTGTATTTAATATAACAAACGATCGATTAACTTTTACAGATCGCAAACTCACAATATGTGCGCGTAACATATAAACGATATCGCTTCGAGATTTAAATGCTAGGCATACAAATTATTAAAGCCAACAATGTTATTTAAATTCTTTCATTAAACAGTTAATATCGAAGGATGCAAATCGATCTTAAGATTAAAATACAAAATACCCGATCGGTACAACTGCTTACGTAAAATAATAATTTTCGGTACAAAGTACTAGCCGTGAGAGGAGATTTAATACTGAAAATAGTTTTGGTCCCTATTACTTTTAGAGCATCTAAACTCGTGGGAAATTATAATGTTTGCAATAAAATGATTGATGTCTATTTTACTTGACTCTCGTATAAATGACAAATGTCTTTATTATTTTATTCTTGATATATAGAAACAGATTGTAAGCGTTTTGATATAGTACATTGTGTACCTAGGGCGCAAAATAGGGCATTCTAGCACTGGCACGAGTTTCGCTCGGGCGACAAATTCACACACGAGTGACAGAATGCCTTTCGCGCCTGTGGTGCACATACTATTTTTTGACACACCGGGCGAGAAATCATTGAAAAATCGATCATTGAGAATTGTACGTTCAGCTTAATTACAAAGAAGGGGGTCCAGGGGGCGAAGTCCCCTGGTGGGGGTTCGGGGGGCGAAGTCCTCATCNTTCGTCATAATCAGAATCACTGTCACAATTCATTTTCACTGAGATTAGACGTAGAATGAAATGACATTAGGTTTGTTTAATCGATAACAAAAGCCATCGAAGTTGTAATTACATCATTTTCCGTCTTTTCCGCTCTAGGGCGGGAATGTGCTATTTTGCTCCCGCTAAACATGCACGAGAAACCGAATTTCGCGCCCGGAGGGCCAAAAATTATTTTCTTTCCAACATTTTAAGCACCTTTTCATACATGAACAACGCGTATTCATCTGCTTAGCATACTGGACGCATCTCGTATTTAAGATTAACTTAGGTATCGATACTAAGCCACATATACATTTTGCTCAACTAATATCTGTGTGCGTCTCTCATGCAATTTGATATAAAATCTCTGTAAACTTCACCGCTTTTTTTAACACATATATCTATCTAACAAATTCGGACATAAATCGCGGAGATTTACAATAAATCATAACGAGAAAGAGAGAATTCTTAGTGAATTGCATAAATAACCACAGCACTGAGTAATATACCGTCCTTCATTACTGCTTAATAATTTTCTTATCGATTTACGTTATTATTATTAGTGCTATTGCTGAATATATTTTGATTCATTTTTTATGTAAATTATCCACGAACGAAGGCGAACGAATTAACACCATTAACAAATTTTATATCTCCTTCATCTATTGTAAGGCAGCCTACATCGGTTTAAAATTCATTCCTTGATTTATCTATATAAAATTATTAATCTTACTATCTCGCAATAATTCAACGTCAGTAGAAACAATTTTCTTCATTTTTTTTTGTACACTCAAATATGGATCAATGTTAATATTACATCAGTACCAACCCTTTTCTCTTATTAGATTTTACAGAGATTCACAGAATCGTGACTAGATTCATTTAGATTTAGACTATTATGTCCTTGTATAAAATATGACTACTAATCTTAAGATATATCTATAAGCTTTGAAAGAAATCTTCTTTGGAAAAAGCTGTTTGTGTAATTTCGCTCGCAAAAATATGGCATTGATAGCACCTGATATATCTCAATATTAATTTCTGCTTTTAATTCTTTTTATTCATCCTATCTACGTCAACCGATTTTAAAAACGTATGAATGGTATGAACGAGATCAACGATGTTAGTAATAAGAAGAATCCCCAGATTAAAAGTAGTAAATAATTAAAAGTAAAAATACAAAAACTACTTAAATTAAAAATCGAAATTAAGGAAGTTATTGTCTGATGGAAGTCGATTAAAATCATAATAAAAGCATTCGAGAATGTATCGTTAGATAAGAAAAGTATCTTACTTTCTCTTTTGAAAAATGAATGTGTAAAGTATGCACAGAATATAAAAGATTCAAATTTTCTTGAATCATTGGCATTTCTTAGAAACAATATAAACGTTGGAATCTTTTGCTTTTTTCCTAGAAAGTATATCGTTTACATAGACTAATTCCGTTGTGTACCCTTTAGTAATACAAAAATACAAATAATCCTTAATTGAGAACAGCTTACTATTTATCAGCTATCGTTAGTCCATTCACCCGTTTCTTTTAATGCTCTATCCGTCAATCTTTCGATCTCGGTCAGAAGCTGTTCAGTCTCTAAATCGACACATACCATGTCCGCCTCGACCGGATCCCATTCTAAACTGTTCGGCGTGGACACTCTGGACCAAGGGGACGCTGTTAAACTAGAGGGCTGGCTATTATTAACCGACGTTCGCGATATGGAACCGTCGGTGCTTTCAACTTTCTCGTCATCTGCAATTGGCAATGGCATTCCTAAACAGATAACATTTATTCTTCGCACCTTTATTCCACACGTACTATAATATCGAAATGCAATGAGCTTGGAATGCATTTATACCTTCGTGTTCCCATTCTAAATCTAACGACGAACCGGGTGTAGAAGAGACGCACGTTTGATGCTTTATTAATGTTCTCGCATCAAGAATTTGGAGTGGAGTATCCAGACCAGAGCTGACAGATTATTTCACTCTGATTAGCTGCTCTATTATCTTACTCTTGTTAATATCAGAGTAATTCAATTATGTACCTTGTAGAAGCATTATTCCTGGAGTTCAACCTGGAATATTTATTAGTACCTTTTGCCCATGCCTCATCTTCTAATAACTCCAACGTTACAGGAACTCCTTGTTTTTTCTATGAGCAGAATATTGAATTCTAGGAATCACATTTGATACTAAGAGCATTACAATTGAATATAGTTGATAAATGATATCATAAATATTAATAACTGTGTAAAAAGGTAAACTTGCTATCCCAATAAAATTATTGACAAATCTGATAGACTAATTACCTTGAACTGGTTTAAGGAGAGAAACGATAACAGGCTATCCAGGGAGCATAACAATGAAGCATGTAATTAATTCACAAAAACAATTGGAGCACTATTATAAATCTCAATGCAATTCCTTACGTTTTTGATCCTCTAGATTGATCTACATCCCCCTTGTCATCTATAAACTACAAGAAAATAGCTCTTACCTATGGATACGAATTACTAAAATCTTAATAATCAGTGACAGTAACAGAACTAAATGTACCTCAACTTGTTCGTCTCCTTGGTAGGACATATTGGTGTGTCTTTGGTAAAATCTTGAAATTTAAACAAAATAAATACGTAACATTATAAAAATTAAGAGCATTATCGAGACATATTTGTATCATAAAGTTTGCTAATTAAAGATTAAAATTGAATGTTGGGATCAAAGTTTAGGTCAGGAAATTCAAGGTTGAAGTATCGCTAACCTGTACGAGAGGGAATCTGCAACTTTGGAAATGCAGCGGCCGAAACAGGCCCCCATGACCTGTTAACACACGGCGTATCGCCGTCATCTAATTGATATAGGCGTTCGGATACAGGTATTTAACTTTCACGTGATACGTGTAAGATAAAAAGAACGAATTCTGTATACAGAGAACCGAAACTATCCGACTTGATGACTCTTCACATAACGACTAATAACGAGAGACATGGTAACATTGGTAACTATAAGAGCGTCTCCGGCAACCTCAGGCAACCTGGGCAGTTGGCGTTGGCGTTGGCGGAACACGACGGCAGGGAGACGGGATGGCTGCACTACCAACTGAGTCAGTCGAGGTCGAGTCATTTGACAATGAACGAAATAATTAATCGATTAATCCTGAAGTATTCGAGATAAAAAAACTGTATACGACCTTTTTTGCAGAGGTAATAGCAGTACCTACAACTTTTATTTGAAGCATTACTCGAAATTCCGCAAAAAAAAAATTCTCGATTTTTCCGAGATTTTTCCAAGGGGTACCCCTTCAGATTTTGTGAAATTTTCGTTTTTTGCTAATAACTCCTAAACCGTTGGACCTACGGAAAAATTGCATACGACCTTTTTTGTAGAGGACGACGAGATCTACAATTTTCATGTAAAAGTTTCTCGCTAGCGTCAGTAGTTTACGAGTAATTTGCTAAAAACTGTTTTTACGTTTTTCGTCAATAACTCGTATACCATTAATGCTAGCGAATAACTTTTACATGGAAATTGTAGATCTCATCATCCTCTACAAAAAAGGTCCTATGCAATTTTTCCGTAGGTCCAACGGTTTAGAAGTTATTGCGGAAAAACGAAATTTTTTTCCAAAAGTTCGCTGTTTCGACGCTGGGATGGTCGGATTTTGTCAACATCAATAAAATGCCAAATAATCATATGCAACTCATTAAATACTGGAATTACAAGAAAAATGCATAGAATCTTTCTTGTAGAGGACGTCAATACCTACAACTTTTCTTTTAAGCATTTTTTTAAATATCGGGAAGAAAAAATCCGAGATAAGAACACGTATTATGACCATCGCGGGTTGCCTAGCTACTAGCTACCGCGGCGAATAGGTGGAGTGGAGCCACATATGTATTCCATAATGTATACGGTAATAACTCAACTCGTGATAACTATACCATCGAATTGCATTGAATCTTGTGGCGAACAAACTCTTCTCCTTGATACCTATTCTACTTCTAATAATTTACAAATATGTTGGCAATGAGTAAAATACAAATTGATGACGACATTTACGACGGGTATAATGATTACCCATCGATATACAGCATTAAAGATCTTGAACAGGATCAATTATTCCAGGAAGCTCTCAGTACAAGTTATGGAAAGAGATCAATTGTAAGTGATAACAAATATATGAATAAGAAAAGAATGTAATGANATTTATAGGACCATTTTGTAGGGAACGACGAGATCTACAATTTCCATACAAAAGTTATTCGCTAGCATCAATAATTTACGAGTAATTTGCGAAAAACTGTTTTTTAGTTTTTCGTCAATAACTTGCTAAATATTGATGCTAGGGAAGAATTTTTATATGGAAACTGTAGATCTCGTCGTCCCCTACAAAATGGTCCTATAAATTTCCCCCCTAAGTCCATTCGTTCGGGAGTTATTGACAAAAAACGAAATTTTTTTCCAAAAGTTCGCTGTTTCGACGCTGGGATTTTGTCAATATCAATAAAATGCCAAATAATCATATGCAACTCATTAAATACTGGAATTACAAGAAAAATGCATAGAATCTTTCTTGTAGAGGACGTCAATACCTACAACTTTTCTTTTAAGCATTTTTTTAAATATCGGGAAGAAAAAATCCGAGATAAGAACACGTATTATGACCATCGCGGGTTGCCTAGCTACTAGCTACCGCGGCGAATAGGTGGAGTGGAGCCACATATGTATTCCATAATGTATACGGTAATAACTCAACTCGTGATAACTATACCATCGAATTGCATTGAATCTTGTGGCGAACAAACTCTTCTCCTTGATACCTATTCTACTTCTAATAATTTACAAATATGTTGGCAATGAGTAAAATACAAATTGATGACGACATTTACGACGGGTATAATGATTACCCATCGATATACAGCATTAAAGATCTTGAACAGGATCAATTATTCCAGGAAGCTCTCAGTACAAGTTATGGAAAGAGATCAATTGTAAGTGATAACAAATATATGAATAAGAAAAGAATGTAATGAACCTTAAGAATAAAACATTTTACAGTTCACACCAAAAGTTCCAGGAAGTGCTATGCGCTTGGGTACTTCAACCGGGGTAAATGAATTCATTTACATTACATTTTATTTACATTGCACGTTTTTAAAATATGTGTTATTAATCGTAGTTTCACAGAGGTGGTACTGGCATATCTTTGCGACCTACTACTAGTGGACTTAGACCAATGACAGCGGTCAGAGGTGCTGGTTACACTAGTAGCAATCGTCAAATGTTCGATCCACTAAATATGAGCAGTTCTACCAAAGGTCCTGCACCGCCCTTGGAAACTGGGAAAGAAGACACGTAAGAAATATATTAATTGATAGTAAATCTAAACTTCAAACCAGTTTCTCTGTTTAAATATATTTAGGCCTGAAGAAAAGATAAAGGCATCTGAGAGGAGAATCATGGAAATAATAGAAAGTTCAATACAAGCAGCATATGAGAACAACATGAGAGTTGCTTTAGAAAGAGCAAGGGATGCCAGCTCTAGAGAAAAAGCTCTTATCAGGCTACAAGAACAAGCTGGGCTTAGCGACAGCCACAATGTAGATTTAACATTTGCTGTAAGCATTAAATTGTAGTATTCGAAACATTATTGTATAGACTACTGTAGACTATTTCATTACTATGTCCAGGTAATTTTTAATTTGGCGATACAATACACCAACAATAACATGCTTACGGAAGCTATAGCAACTTATCAAGGTATAACGAGAAACAGAATTTTCAGCAATAACGCTAGACTGAAAGTGAACATGGGGAATATATATGTTAAAATGGGACAATTGTCGCAAGCGATTAAGATGTACAGAATGGCGTTTGACCAAGCTCCAGCAGCTCATAAAGACTTGAGGTATTGAAACATGATTAATTAGTGAGATTGCTCGTATTAACACGATCTCGTTAAACGATTCGCAGAATAAAAATAATGCATAACATCGGAATGTTATTTGTACAAATGGGTCGTTTGGAAGAAGCGGCTAATAGTTTTGAGTGGGTGATGAAAGAGAGGGCCGAGTTTAAAGCAGGCTTGCACACTGTCTTATGTCATTTCGCGTTGTCTCATAGGGACAAAATGAAAAGGGCATTTTTAGAGTTGTTAGAAGTTCAACTTAACATAGATCAGGAGGACAGATATAATATAAGTACAGTGAGTTGGCCACGTTTATAAGTAGCAGTGTGTAAAGTGTTTCTTTGAGCATTGCCCGCCACACACGATAGCTATATAACTGGTTTTTGTGCTTTAAGTAACGTTGGGAAAAGAAATGTTAAGATTTAACTCACCAACACTTTCGCGTAGCAATTGCAAGTTTTACACTCACAGAGCACAATGTAAATATTCACTGATTTTCAATAAAATATTTATCGTCGTTTTTCTTTTAATTTGAATAATTAATTTTATACAGGACGATGTTGCCTCTAACATATTGAACGAAATTTTAAAGAACGACGATTTGTCTAAATTGGAGAAAGAATTAAGATCTGAAGCAGAGAGAACTATTCTTTCCGCAGCCAAGCTCATAGCGCCAGTGATCGAGGACACCCTGACGGCTGGCTTTGCTTGGTAAATCAATTGCATACATGTTTTTTAACATTAAATTCAATCTAAGAACATTCACACACAGGTGTGTGGATTCCATAAAGTCTTCAGCTTATAGTCCATTAGCCGCTGACCTCGAAATAAGCAAAGCTATGGTGTTTCTACATAATCGGGAAACCCAGTTGGCTATTGATACATTGAAGATGTTCGAGAACCGTGAGAGTAAAGCTAACAGCTCAGCTGCGACCATGCTTTCATTCATTTATTATCTCGTAAGCGGCATTTGCTTTCATTGATTGTAAACCACATGTTGATAATGGTCGTTTACCTAATCTGCAGCAAGGAGATTACAACCAAGCGGAAAGGTGCGCGGAGATCGGTCGGAATGCAGATACCTACAATGCAGCTGCTTACGTGAACTTATCAGCATGCGCGATTAAAAAGAGTAATTTAAACATCGCTAAAGAGCTCCTTCTATGTGCGCTAGATACAGATGCCAGCCACGTGCAAGCTCTTTATAACTTAGGTAATTGTCATTTACGTTAAGATACACATACGTGTTATTTACGATATGCACGACGTTGTCCCGCAGGACTAGTATATAAAAAACAAAGTATGTATGAGGAAGCATTAGAATGCTTTTGGAAAGTTCGGAATATCGTTAGGCACGACCCGCAAACGTTGTATCAAATCGGGCATCTGTACCAACTCATGAGCGAGATAGATCAAGCAGCAGAATGGTACGATTGATGATCACTTCCAATTCATTTTAATTTATTGTAATTAATAACGGTTTTAGGTATAATCAGTTGCTTGGGATAATACCGTGCGATCCTGGAGTTCTACAGAAGTTAGGCGAGATGTATGACGCTGCTGGAGATAAGCAACAGGCGTATCAATTCTATAGCGATGTCAGTTTTTATTTTATACCTACACTTTATTCTTTACTTGGATGTTATTAAAATACATATCTTTAGTCTTATAGATTCTTTCCTGCCAATTTTGAAGTGATCGATTGGCTGGGATCATACTTTGTATCGATGCAAATCGCCGAGAAAGCGATGATTTATTTTAAAAAAGCTGTGGAGCTCGCTCCCGACGAACCACGGTGGCGCTTACTGGTTGCCGCGTGTTTGAGGCGAACCGGGCAATTTCACAAGGCTCTTCTAGAGTATCAGGATATTCACAACAAGTTCCCGGAGAATATCGAATGTCTAAAATTTTTAGTTCGCTTGTGCAGCGATCTTGGTTTAAAGGAAGCGCAGATGTACGCGGCGGAGCTGAAACGCGCTGAAAAAGCGAAGGAGCTAAAAGAGAGGCAGAGTTCGGCAAGACCAGGTATACATAATTGTAATTATTAATTGTCTGAATTTTATAGCAATGTTATAAAATTATTTTATGTAGGATCAAGGAGAAGCAACAGTGGGACCTCGTCGCGGACTGGTTCTGGAATGAGCGTGCAGTCGGATCATAGGTCGAGTCCGACCTTCGGTAGACGGGAAAATCAAGGCTTGAGCAGTGCCGGTATTACACGATCTAATCGAGTCTCCGCAAACGAAAACATCGCGGAAACGCCAATGGATATCGGCGATCAAACAGGTATGGATAATTCGTTTAACAAGTTATTACTTTCTTTGTTCATATAATTGACAAAGTAGTATGTATATAGTTGAACGTTTATTAAAGTCTATCAAAGCCACAGAAATGCATAGCTTTATTCTGAAATGAGCATTATTAACAAGAATGATCTACAAATGATGGTTGTACTGGCCTAATGGATTGAACAGATGATAGATGAGTCTAGCTATTTTGAACAGCCTATTCTTGTTCCCTGCGTGTACATAGTAATGATTCTCAGACTTGCGGTTTATAAATCATTATCAAATTACCGAATAATTCTTAATGAAACGATTATCGATTACAAAATAAATGGACGTGAAATATTTAATGCAGGTACTCCGTACATTGATCCAATTGGTCCGCTACCTGTCCGTCCTATGACGTCTGCCGGAAAGAGAGACGACGATTTCGGCGATGAAGAGTTAGGCGACGATTTGTTACCGGAGTAACGGTGACATTCTTTTTACTGTCTTTGGTAATTGAAATTCGTCAGAAAAATTAATAGTACAGTTGAATAGCGCAGCATCTTTTTATATGACGATAACCGAATCAATGCGCAGAGTGATATGTAATTCGCTTAGATTAATCGCGCCTGGCACATTAAAGTACATTAAATGTAACACGCGTCCTTTTGTCCGAGACTCAAAGTCGAGCCCCGTCGCATCCACAAGCGGTATTAACACAAATTGTGCTTTCGTTAATTATCATTTCGAAGTGCAAGATGGTTGTCTATAGTACGGTGCTATACATTATGAAACCACGAGGGTCGGGCAATTGTAACGATCTAAATTTAAACACGCTGACCAATTTAATCAAACTCCATTCAGCCTATGTAGTTTAGTAGACGGACGTTATTTTATTGCAGCTATATTCAAACTCCATTCAACTGAGATAATGCGAGTCCGCGGGAGCATATTCGGTAGCGAGCCCGTCGCTCTTACGTTCGCTGAATGTTATGTTAAATAAATTCCTATTGCATATAAGTCATTCACGTGTACATTTTACCTAATCCTTTGTTACGTTCAATGGAATCTTTGATCGTTTGTTGATCGCGCGAGTCGCGGAAGCGAGAGGCCGGAACTAAAAAATCTCATTACAAAGATTACGTGTATGTACGCGGCTGTGAAAGAAATCGTGGCATTTATGAGCGTGTGAAGTTCAATCCAGGTTCGAAGCACGCGATATTCCAGAAGCCAGTGTGCGTTCGTCGACGATAGATCGTATCGGTATGCGAAATTACACAAGCGTGCGTTCGCGTGTGTATCGCGGGGAGCGTGGTGCGGGTACCAAAGGCGCGCGCACGTAATACGCACCGAGGCACCGATACGTTTCTGAAGTTCGAGCAGTGGGGAAGGCGACGATCCGGAGGCTCGACCAGTTGCTCCTTTGAAACGGAGTACATTTCACGGTATCCCACCCACGTGTTAGTACGTACGTGTGCGTGTCTCTATCACGTTCCGGGAGAAACTCCACAGTCATTGACCGGTAACTGGACTCGGCGAGGAGGATAGAGAAGGATCAGAAGCTGAAGCGATCGTGGGAGTCCGACAGTCACACATATAAAGTGTTAGGGTGAGCTTGCGTTTCTCATTTTCGCAGAACAAGGCACACGTGCTCGTTAAACGCCTTCGGGCTAGATGATACTCGAAGCATCGAGGATTATCTACCTAATTTGATGGTACATACGGTTTCCGTTTCATTACTGCTTACAAACTGCTACTATGCGGACTTAGTATTATACTCCTGTAACCGGTTTTCAGCACGGTTGTCATTAGCGCTGGCGCAAGAAATTAGATTTAAATACACGTATTTTAATGTTTATTTTCTTCGATAACCCACGTGGGTCCTTGAAACGTAACGGCTGATGCGATTCTGTTGTCATATCGATTTAACGTATTCCTCTGATTTTACGCAGCTACGGTCTATGTATTCAGAATTCAGAAATTATCATTATCTGATGCATATTCACGTCGCGTTCTATCTCGCTTTTGCCTAGACCTTGCTGTTCGCGGTTTTCTATTATGCTGCACCGCTTGCTTATTAGTAGTGACGACAAGTTTCGGAAGAATACAAGTCCATATCGTTGGATCATTCAAATATTTTTGAAACATCATCGCGTCTCGATAAATACCGATCGTATTATCACCTGGCCCGATCGTTATCGTGTAAATTAATTTTTGTAAAACCACCATTTCGAGAGGCATACTAGCTTATCGCGTGACAGCAACTCCGATTACATCATTGTTAATGCCTTTCAAATGAAAATCACATGTTTTATCTTTTCCTGTACTGAATCGTGCGACTTTTCAACCCGCTATTGTCCTCGCTGCAAATTGCGGAATGGTCATTCGAAAATTGTCGACTGATAACAATGCCTTCCTTAAAAATAGTTCGACATCAGCGATAAATTTTATATATACACACGCAATTTGTATAATTGCAACATTTTGCGAAGCAGATTATGCTATCGCGTCTAGCTCCGATACGAATATCGATGTGGCCGATAATAAACTGTTCGTACGGCGCCGTCACGCAGGCAAATTTGCGAATTGCCGAAATCTCGGTCGCCGGCGCTCTAACAGCCGGCAATTGCGATAAGGCGACCCGACGTTCCGAAACGTAAAACGAGCACCGCACTCGAGAGAATTCTATTCGATTAAGGTTTATTCGAGACCTTGGTGATAATGGCCCCGTAATTCACGGAAGCTCTATAATTCAAGCGGTGAAGATCGTAACCGTGCGCGCTCTTAACGAAAGGGTTGTCCGCTATCGCGTACGAGGCGGCTCGTTTGACGGGAGAAGAAAAATAGAGCTGGCGCGGTTTCTCGTGTCGGTGCGAACGCGCTTCCTTATCACCGTGCGCGACTCGCAGTACGTCGAACTCGCGTGACATTCGATTTACGTCACTCACTGCGTTCGATGTTCGACGGACAGAGCGGTAGCGAAATGATGAGCGAAGAACGTGACGGAAATGCTATTTATATGTTTTATAGGCAATATTTAGATTATAGGAAATATTTAGATGCTTGATAGGCAATAGACTAAGAGATAATCGTTAGGTTCTTCGGGACCGTCGTTCGAAGAAGAAGAAAAAGAAGAGGGGTAGCTCGAACTGTGACGAGTGTGCGTATTGCAATATGGATCAGAATCATCACGTCGGGTCAAGTGGCTAAATTATCCTGGTTAACGTTTTGCACCTTCCAATTGATTTTAATAGAGCTTCGTTCAAAGCGACTTTGATGGACCGTAAGAACGTTCTGGCGACATTTCGTGGTGTCTCATCTTTCTCTTTGCATGCTAATCGACCGAGGTATATCCATCCCGAATCGTCGAACTTAAACGAGATCACCGATCCAGGCAAACTGGTTCGTCCGGTGCCTAACTGTTCCAGTGTAACAATATCACTGTTCGCGTATTACACTCACACCAATGGCCATGCAATTTCAGAGAAGAACGCGTATATAGTAATTCGTTTCTTACATTTTTCTATCCTTATATGATAAACGGGTTGAAAATTGGGTCATAAATTTGGCGAGAGAATGAAAATAATAAACGTTTACGGTACGGCGGGAGTCGCGGTGTCCGCCTGGTGAATCTTACGATTAAAGATACTCGTCGAACGGGTTCTTCAACTTTTGCGACCTCAACGTCGATATTAAAACTGGAATCTCTTTCCTGCTTTCGAGACAAACGACTTCGGTTCGATTCGTTATATTAATTTCACATTGAATTAACTTTTTCCCTGGTTCAATGGTCGACTGTATCGATTCAAACCAAGCCTCTTGACTGCACTTGCTGCAATTCGCAATGGAAATCGCGCTTGCGCGTGCTGTGTACGATAAATAGCTGAAAAGATTTCGCCTGCGACGGTATAGAGTCAAGGATACTTGCGGCAGTCAACTTCGATTTCATATGTGTGGCTATTTCGCAATTAACAAATAGCAGTACGCCGTGGCCGAGAATGCACAGAGAAACAAGCATTCGACCAGCCGACTGATAAACGAAAAATACTGGAAAAGTTTCCGAGAGGAACCTGGGTGATAGTGTCCAGCGAATGTCACGATTTCGCCAGAGAGTGATCAGTGAACGGTGAACCGACGATAGGCTTCCGCTGCCCTCGCATGGGTCCGATCGCTCCTGCACCGTTGCAACACACATTGCAAGTTCAATGGTTTCGATAGTTCGTTTATCGCAGGCAAAAAACGTGACGCGAGCCAAATATTTTGGACGACATGCGTCGCGAGCTCGTCAGAAAGTCTCGTCTGGACACACGAGCCGCGAACGGGCCGGTCTACGGATTTCCTCATTATTAATCAGTAATCACGAGCGAGATAGCGTTCGCGATAGTGGGTGACCTATAGAGCCACCGAGCGTAATGTCTGTAATGAGCTTGACCAAGCAGTCGCAGTTTTTTGTGAATCTCAATCGAAATCTGAAACGCTGCCTTCCAATACTCCGTGATCGATATCGGCTGGACAGACACGGTATATCTACTGTCACACGATTGCTGGTCAATCGCTTCTACATTCAGAAACTCAAACTTGCCATTGTCGTTAACATTGCACGTGGACGGTCTATTATCAGTGAACGTAACGTTGACGCAGTAATTGTTATAAGTCATGCAATCCTGTAGACAAGCAAGATGGTCAAGACTGGTCCGTTGCTCATTGCGAGGGTGTAATTTAGAGGACTCTGTTAGAGCAGCGTTATCAGACGTTATAAAAACATGGTGGACTTTCAACTTTCGTTTAGCAGCAAGCTCGTGCGATGTTATCAACGTAGTTCGAGGGGAAAATAAGCGAGCATATACATAATAGAAAACCGAGCGAACTATTTAACTCCTACTCAGAACGTTCCTCGCGCTCACACGGGAACGCGCGACTTCTCTAGCCGCGTCCACCTTGTCCTCTCGGTCGCGACAAATTCATTCACGTTCCGCTTGCTACCGCGATTTCATTCATTCGCATGTCATTCATGGATAGAGAACATTCGCGGGAACCAGGTGAGCACGCGGTGTACGTGATGAATTTCGATAAAGAAAAAATAACGATAAACTGCGTTGTACACGGTGGAACGTGAAATTGAATTCTGTTTTACTTTTCAGACAATCAAACCCTCCTAGACATGGTCGTACCCACGGAGCATGCCCTTAACGAGGCGATACAGGTCTCCCCACTAGTCCTCGTCGATGAAGTGAGGCGGCAAAAAGTGAGTAATTTCATAATCGAGCATGTCAAGTTACGATAAGACTGACTTACGAGGCAACGCGAAATTATGGAAATCCACTAAGCGCATTAGTCGCGGTTACTGCTTACGGACGTTATTCGATCGTACGCCACCATTTCAAGAATTCGTCAAGCAGAACGCTATCGGATCGCTCAATGATATCCTAGCCGGCGCTATTACATATCTGTTTTCTATTCCTGCGCGCTCTTTGCATAATTAATCCGGCCGATCAATGAGCGATGAGCGTTGAATCATTCCCGAGGCAGGAAACAAGCCTCCGAGTCCTTAACCCTGCGACATCCGCGTTTAATAGCCTGTCGGCTCCGATCGATAGCGCTTTCACTTTTGCCTGCGCCGATTTCTGACCTCGAACAGTGGCACCGGCCAATTTGTACCGTCTGGGATATGCACCTTTCTTGAGCGCGCACAATTGCGTTACGTAACCGGCTCGTTTGTGTAGAAATCATTTAATTCGACGCTTCACTTATCTGCGCCGCGCCTCGCCGATGACTCGGGAGGAATCATTTCTCTGCACGAACGAGATTTAAAAGAACATACGCAATAACGATCTGTCGAACACTTAGGTGGTTTAAACTAGCTCGAGCCGTGGTCTACTTATATCTCCTTATCTGGCGACCTCTGACACGAGATTATCATATAGGATTTCGATGTCGAAAGTTTATGGAGCTATCAAAGAAGTTTCATTCGTTCTCGAAAACAGTTTCCATAACGATCGCTGATGCGAATTCCACGAATGTCCGCGACGGACAGATATAGCGTTACACAACTGAAGAGCTGTACCCGCGAGCCACTCTTTCTGCATCTGATTAAAGCGGAGCTCACAGTGTCAAGGCCAATTTCTGTTTACTCTGGTTTCATTCTTGCCTCGTTAGGACGGGCAGCGATAATTTCCTTCGATGCCGTATATCAACCGTTATTGCGTTGACAGTTCAATCCGCGAGAGGAGCAATAAATTTCTTTGATTTTCGCCTCGGCCGAGGTCGAAAGAAAACACGTAGTTTTGCACGTGTATGATTAACATTTTCCTCTCTTTCACTCCATCAAATGATCTGCGTAAAATATCGATTTCCGGAATTTTTCGTTTCGTCTTCGCGGCGACGTTTGCGTGAATGCAACCGGTTTGCCTTCGAGAACGTGAAATATTAGTATTAGCCTGGCCACAGGAGAGCACTTGTTTGCTATTCTACCGGTTTCAACATGATGAGTGCAAAGGAAATAGTCAGCTTCCGTTAGCAGTTTCATGTACTTCCATTTTTGCACGCTTTATTATTTAAATGATACAAGATTCGTCCATGTAAATGTTTTGCATAAAAATCGGCAGTCCGTTTATTGGTCATGGCTGTATTACCACTGTTACGTAAACCTGAACGCGATCGCAGTCGACGATTAAGTGCAGAAAATGCACTATCGCAATATGGCGAATTGAATTTTTCTTCATCGCGTTTCGTCGTCTAACTAACGCGAACGCGTGCTTCGTCTTCAGTTCGCCTATTAGAGTCCCATTATGGATCACGTAACAGAGAGCGGGACAAACAGCGAGGACTTAGATCGCACGAAAGTGTCTCATAACGTTCGTCGAACGATTATAAAGATTTATGGCACACGGAAACAATACCCGGCGTGATGTCACCGATAACCATCGGGTTAACAACGTTCTCGTTCGTAGATCGAACAAAAACTGGCAAAGTTGCAATTCTCGCCCGCCATCGTCAGAAAGATCGAGGATGTGTTCGTGAAGGAAATGAACAGGGGGATTCATCAGCAGCCGTCCTCGCTGCGCATGGAGAATACTTATATACCGGAGCTCCTCGACGGCACAGGTACTCTACTTGTTAAGAATTTTTACAGTGATAAGTATTGCGGCTCGATAAACAGTCATTATAATTATGAAGAGACTAAAAAGTAGTGACAAACCCGAGTGATAATTGTAACGGTGATAAAACATTTTTCAGAGGAGGGCTTGTACTTGGCGCTGGACCTCGGCGGCACGAATTTCCGAGTACTCCTCTTGGAACTGGCCCACGGCACGCCGATACGGGAGGAGGTGAAGAAGTACCACATCAGCTCCGATTTGAGAGTAGGCTCGGGGATTCGCCTGTTTGATTATCTGGCGGAATGCGTCAGCGATTTCGTCATCGCGCAGGGTCTTCAGGACGTAGAGCTTCCCCTTGGTAAATTGAAACAACGTAGAGGAATCACCTGTGAGACTTCTAATTGCCGTGCCTGAGCTCTGTGGTTTCCCGCATACCGATTCCAAAATGATTGCACTTCCGGGAGAAAACTGAACGTCCTCGAGCACTCGGTTGCTATCGGCTTTCGAGTATCGTGTCGCGCGGTTTTACAAATTCAAGTGGCCACTCGCTGTTAATCGATCGTACAATTTGTCTCACGTGTGATAATTCTCGAAGGAAGATGAAGATAAGCTCTAATATGTGTTTCATCTCTTTTTCAGGATTCACTTTTTCCTTCCCGATGATACAACATTCGCTGGACATCGGGTTATTAGTCACATGGACGAAAACGTTCAATTGTGTCGACGTCGTGAACAAAGATGCCGTGAGGTTGCTGCGCGAGGCGTTGCAACGGCGAGGGGACACCAAAGTGAAAGTGGTGGCTATACTGAACGACACTACGGGAACATTGGTACAGGGGTCCACGTTAGATCACGAAACTGCGATAGGACTTATATTGGGTACCGGTAGCAACGCCTGTTACCTCGAGCGAGCTGACAGGGTGGAACATTGGGAGACCGAGAGGCATGGAGAACGCGAGGTAATTTCCTTTTTCTCTCATATGAAGAAACGACATTTTGAAGAAAATAATCAATCTTTTTATATACTATCATATTCATTTATTAACAGGTGAGATAATACTAATTATTCACTGAATAAATAACTATGACAGTATACAAATTATTGTCTACTTTCTTCAAAATACCATTTTTACCTAATATCAGTTTTTCTCTAACGAATCGTTCTAATTAAAGGTGATCGTCGACATCGAATGGGGTGCGTTTGGAGACAACGGCGTGCTAGATTTTATCAAGACGGATTACGATCGCGAGAACGATGCGAACTCTCTCATTGTAAATTCATTCACGTGAGTATTAAACATTAATCGAAATTCCTTGTGCATTATCAATGATAATATCTTTTAATTATCAGGTTCGAGAAGTACATAAGTGGGAAATACTTAGGCGAAATCGTGCGAGTGGTCCTCGCGAAACTGTACAAAGATGGCCTTTTGTTCTTAGGCGAACAGAACACGCCCGGAATACTTTCGGTCTCCGGGGACCTCACCAGCGATTTAGTATCGGACATTGAGCAGTACGTAACTCGCAAGTCACTTGGGAATAATCAATAGCTTATCAGTTAAAAACTAGCTAATGTATCTAAAAAATAGGGACTCTCTCGACGGTGGTGATAACAACACGAAGGAAGTACTGATAAAGTTCGGTATCGTCCCGGACGAAGAGGACGTGAAAATTGTACAATACGTTTGCGAAGTGGTGTCCAATCGTGCAGCTCTTCTCGTCTCGATATGTAAGTGTGAACGCGTAAGAGAAAATGTTTAAATGAAAATTAATCGAATTAATTGTTCCCGTCAGGCCTGGCAGCTTTGTTAAAGCGAATCGATAAGAATCGTGTCACGATTGCTGTAGACGGATCTCTATACAAACACCATCCCCGAATGGAAACGTGGATGAAGGCCTACATTCCATTGCTAGCTCCCGATCACAAAGTACGTATATTTCAATTATTAATTGTCGATTATTTCTGTCGTTTAATTAATTAGTCTATGCATGATTCGTAGTTTGAGATGATCCACGCCGAGGACGGAAGCGGAAAGGGTGCTGCGCTCGTAGCCGCGATCGCGCAAAGACTCCAGCAAAGACTAGATTAGTAACCGGTGAAAATGTCAACTGAGCTGGCCTGCGATTTACTAATTATTAGTGGCGTAAAACGATTCGCACCAGATCTCTAGTTAAACGATTGTCCAGAGTGATTGTCTAGCGTAATTTTAACGGCCATGTACAGTCAGTCACATTCTGTATGTTAATAATGTCATCAGTCACGTTGTTGACCTTCCATCATCGAGGAACTTAGGTGAAATATTTCATTGTTTATACAAAGAATAACCGCGTAGCAGTTGTTATACTAAAAATTATTGTTGTAAGTAAAATGAATTCTGTTGTTAGCTGCTTCGCAAAGTGATATTCGTGGGAGAGATATAGATTATTGTATTTCGTAGTTTTACGAGAAAGAGATCTTTAGGAGGCGTTATGCCTAAGAATTTGTACTGTTGTGAGTCTTCAATTGCGTCTTCGTGGAAGCGCATTCGAAATTCGTATAACCGAACCTGAATGTTTATGTGTACGAATAATAGATATTACTTTTCTTAACGTTGCCCGAAATACTCGCAAATGTATATCACAGGTCGACATTTGATCTTTCTCATGGAATACTGAAATGATGAATCACATAGCGTTATATCTTAGTTATCCGTAAATCTGTTTATACTTATACAATTTAAAAACATCGAAAGCGAGCCTAGTATACGACGATAACGCACAAGTGCAATTGCTTACTGTGAGAAAAATAAGAGATAAATTCGGGATTAATGCTGTAAGATCGATATACGTCTCGGTTAAGCAACCTGTTTGCACTCCCGCGTTAGCAACAATAGGGGATCGACCAAGTAATGACATAAGGAAGTTTATAGAAAGTAAGAGAAAGAGCATGGCGTAAGCATTTAAGAACAAACATATTTGTTTACATCATTGTAAATTGTAAAAGAACGCAAGGACGTTCTGTTTTTTGCACTAGTGGAACGAGGTTGTTATAATAAAAGTTCGAATGAAAATCATGTATGCTACCATAGTTTGTTTCACCTCGTTATTATGTGAACAAAGCAGATTTTAAAATATATTTTTACAAACATAAACTAAAAACATCGAAAGCGAGCCTAGTATACGACGATAACGCACAAGTGCAATTGCTTACTGTGAGAAAAATAAGAGATAAATTCGGGATTAATGCTGTAAGATCGATATACGTCTCGGTTAAGCAACCTGTTTGCACTCCCGCGTTAGCAACAATAGGGGATCGACCAAGTAATGACATAAGGAAGTTTATAGAAAGTAAGAGAAAGAGCATGGCGTAAGCATTTAAGAACAAACATATTTGTTTACATCATTGTAAATTGTAAAAGAACGCAAGGACGTTCTGTTTTTTGCACTAGTGGAACGAGGTTGTTATAATAAAAGTTCGAATGAAAATCATGTATGCTACCATAGTTTGTTTCACCTCGTTATTATGTGAACAAAGCAGATTTTAAAATATATTTTTACAAACATAAACTGAATATTATATTATTTTTTAAATACCTTGCTTCGTCGTCATCGTTTTTCATAGTCTAGGCGTAGAAGGAGGCATCGAATGTAGGGAGGAAGAACGACAGGATTTCAGAACGGATGCACATTGGAAGGAGACGAAAAAGTTCGCGCGTTCGCAGATTACTGTCATTTGTTAAATAATTGATGGAGAGACGTCGCGTCAATTACCGTTCGAATTGCTGTAACTTAAGGTACGTTTTCATGCAGCGAATAATTCGCAGCGAGTAGCGAGTAGGGAGCAACTGCGAATAGAAAATTGTGTGTAAAATTTTTGTTTGTAAAATGACGATTTGACCAGTAGTCGCAAAAAGCTGGAATACTTCAGCTAGTTGCGAACACTCACATTTACTCGCAAAAATACAACGTGACGTCTATTCGCCGCATGAATTTACACCTTTACCCTATTGATCTTGTTGCTAGGTGGTCCAAGCGCGGTTCATTCAAATCGAACCGCGTTCGATGACAGCGTCACCAGATGTCAGTAGCTACGCGGTCGTCAAAAAGTGACAGCTCGAACTGTCAGCGGTATGCGTACCGCCGCGTTTCTGCTGCAAATAAGAGTTTTGTAACGGATCGAGACGACGACCGAGACTCGTCGACAGTCCTCACACTGTTTTAAATGTCGAGCCGGTCAACGGGAATCGGATTAGCGGTGTGAAACGTGGGACAGTGTGGCGGACGGTGGGTGTGCACGTAAAAGAGAACGGCTTGCCGGCACGGCCAGTCTACTGGAAGATTCCATTGTGAGTGGGCTTTCAAAAAGTTGTATCTCCGAAAAACGAGTGTTCCTGTGAGTTCCGTGGTTCGCCCGTGGATGAAACCTGTACGTCGAGGTAAGTTAACGTCAACGCTACTTATTAAACACGCCGACACCGACGGTTAATCGTTTTCCACGGGACACGGCCTATTAGAAAGGTTGAGGTTACAGCGGCCGCTGACTTCAGCTGGGCTCTCAGCTGATGAACGGACGCACCGACCGGTTTCCCGTGTTTCTTTTAAAATCTCTCATCCCTTTCCATCGTCTTCGTTTCTCGTTCGGATCGCCCATTCCGGACGCGGCAGTTCCTTGCGAGCCTCGCTTTCACGAAATACGACCAATTTTCTAACGTCACCGAGCGCTGCCCCGTTCATTTCGCGTAACCTCTTTTTCACCTTTAATTGTGACAGTTCGCGCGAGTCTTTTATTTGCTCCGATCGTTCAATAGACCCCTCTGTTAATACGTGCATTACTAGTGAACTGAAAATTGTCAGTCATCGACCCCAGTGTCTCACGGTATACTGACTAAGTAGACACCCTGTCAATTGATATAATTAGGAATTCCGTACACTTTTGTTTTTTCTAAAGTGTATATCGAAATCGGTAAGTGATGAATGAGAGAATAAGTGAACATCGATGAACCCATCCGCTTCGTCAAGCGAATACCAAGGTACGTTGAATTTGAATCATTTCTTGGATCTAACTGAGGTACGATCGATAACGATATCGGAACATTTACATAATGCCTTTAAACGGATATGCGTTTCTCGTGCAATGGTAAAGACAAATGTCATTGAACTGTCAGTTCACCGGGGTATACCTACACTATCGCGATCACCTGTAAAGCGACCGATAATCACATCTGTGCAGACGGTGAGCATGATCTCGAAAGAAACTCGCATTTAGAATTTAGAAACGAACTTCTCGATGTGATAAAGCCCCTAATCCACTTAACTAGAAAACTAAACGGATTATAGTTTGAAGAGTTGAGAAACACGATTGAGAACCCAGGCTTCTTCCTCTGTGATTCTCGGATCCTCTTCCAAGTCGCCTAATGCTGTAAAAGGTTTAGACGAGGGTTTGCCTGTGTGTACGAAAACGCGTTAAATCACCGATGGAAAGTACGCGCGACGTGACACCGTTATCGCTTGCAAATTGACTCGGTTTTCCGTGAAGCTCAGCCGAGGTCACCGCGCCCGGCTGCGGCTGCAGCTGAGCTCCCAGCTGACGAATGGAGGCTGCGACCGGTTCGCCATGTTTCTTCTTTCCTTCCTTTTTTTTTAAAGGCCACCTCCTCCTTTTTCCCTTTAAATCGCCTTTCACGACCCTCCGCGACCGTCCTCTCTTCTCCTCCTTCGCCACCTTCTCCTTCTACATCGCCGCCTCCTCTCCCGGCTTCTTCTGCACCGTTTCCTCCTAGAAAATCGTATTGTTTGTGGTGCACGCCGTGCGCGACCGAGAACGCTCGACTTCTCCGAACCAGTTTCCGAACAGTTTCTTTTGTGCGTCTCCTCTTCTTGGCGGCACGTCCAACCCGCGCGCATCACACACAGCCGATGGGACTGATTTAACTTGCTCATAAATCGCATCGAATTAGCTGCGATAACAATTGATATCGACTGACTTGATCTGGTCCCGAATTCTGAGTCGTGTCAGAGATTTTCTCCAGTCTTCCGTGATCGGATCTGTACTGGTACCGAAGGTGGCACGAGTAAAATTCTCAGGAAACCCGGGATCAGTGACACAGAGAGTCTGCTCGAAGTTAGTGAATAGAATGAAAAGTGTCTACTGTTTTTTCCACACGGGACTGAACTTCGTCGTCCACTGACAGTAAGTTCTTTTCTATAAGTTTTTAACTGTCTATACAAAGTACTGATAGGAACTGTCGAGCTCTAGATTAGAAGAAATAAACGAATTCAAATTGTATTCACTGCTGGTAGCACCGTGGCTGCGATGAATTATTCGCGAACAAAGTTTTCACGCGAACCGGGCTCCCTGGAATAGGATAAGAAAATGGAGAAAAAAAAGTGACACGCTTGCAATTTGCAAATGTTCACCCGCGTTTAACATGCGATCTATAGTACGTGACTATAGTTTTATCGCACGTCGACTAACTTCCGAACCGCATATAATATGCATCGCTATTTAAAAGCAATCGGAGCTCGCGTGTTTGGACGCGAGTCACCTGACTTTGCTGTTTCTTATTGTGTCTGATTAACTAATAAATACAGCGACATGCGGCCATTGTCGTTTCTCTATTTTTCATCGGTGCAATCCTATTGTAATTCGTGATAAAATTCTCGTCGGTATCGCCAAGGTTCGAAACCGACTGGAACGAACCGATTAATTGGTAACGTAGTACTATCTCCGATAAAGCCTGTACAACAATGAGACGATAATTGGTGGTAAACTGTAATACAATTGCGCGAACTCGGTACAGAAAATAATTAGGGAATCAAACCGTTCAATAACGGACGCATTCAATATGCTTTAATTCCCTGTATTTCTCATTTATTCGCCGAAGCTATCCCATTTTCTATTATCCGATTTCCATGCGAAATAATAGGTCGTTTTCTGTAAATTTTCTACCCTACATTTTGTGTAAATGCACGAAACTCGGCAGCCTAATTATTAGATTACTTCAAAACTTTTGTACGCTGGTTTTAACTACTTGAAATTGCAAATTCGTTGTCACGGTCACGCGATTCTATATTGTCGCGTTCCTCGCGGTGGTTGCAGTATTTCCTTTGGAAAATGGATGTCCTTGTTGCACAATGGGCACGGCGCTCGAATAAAATCGGATCGAGTTCGTCGATTCGTCACGGATAGTCACGGTGTCCAGCGTTTAGTTACGCAGGAAATCGCGGAAAAAATTGGCCGGGAGAGAGCCGGATCGAATTGTTTTCTGAGCCCCGCGTCGCGTTCGTTGATTCGGGACAATACGCCCGTCCGGGAGAGTCGATTCCGTTTTATTCGCCCGGGACCCATTCGCTTTTGAGACGGCTTTCGTCGATCGTGGCCACTTTTATCTCTATCTTTATTAGCTGGAGGGTTGATACAGGCGTACACACAGGGTGCTCGTAAACTTGTCCAGTTCCTTAGTAGGACCTGAGCGCCGCCGTTCTTCGATTCCCACTGGCTGCCGATTCCTGATCCGATTTTAACGATAGGAGAAAACCGAGGAGACGCGCTCGACGACCGGCTATCGATCGGGCTTATCGGTTATCAAGCCCACTGACTCACACCCAGCGTTATCGATTGCGCTTTTCGAATCGTGAAACACGATTATTCAATCTCGAATGACACACTATTGCGCGAACGCCTCCTGTGCGCCTCGCTGTCTGCGACTGCGGTCGCAGTAACCTCAGTGTTTCTCAATTGCGAAAAGCTGGCTCGCGTTACTGCCTGTCGTGCACCTCCGACGCCCACCTTCGCCGAGGAGCTCGAGCCTCGATATCGCGTGAAGCCAGCAATGGGATTGATTTACGCCGGTGACCGTAGACCACTTTCTTATATCGTCCGATCTGTCTGATTCATAAGTCGTCGAGTTCTCCATTTTTCCTCTCGCTATTTTGAATAATGGAATTACTGAATCACGAGCCGGGGCGTATATCGGTTTGCACGATATGCAATAACGTAACGAGGAGTAGGAGACCTTGCGCATGAATTATAGACTCCGGCTCACGATCGGCGCCGTGTAATGTTTCTTTTCGTCGGATCGTGTCCCGAGTCGAATCCGTTAGGTTTGCTTAAGTAAATCGCTGTTCCCTTTAATACTCACGACCCGATACACGCATTCAGGTCGTATCGAGCCGGACCCGGTTTAGGCTTCGGATTTTCGGTAAACAAAATTCATGGTCGTTGAACTCGACGGTACACGCGAGGGGATATCAGGGTTTATTCTCGCTTGAAACGCGATTAAAGCCTGCCTCCCCGGGCAAATCGGTTTCGCCGGCCAAGACTATTTTTCGCTAGCCCTTTGGCTTGACCCTTGGAAATTTCGTTCCGTTCCAACGGCGATCGGTCTCGCGCCTTTGAACGCGTTGCAATTCTGTCAGGCTCGTTTCTCTCCTCTGTTGTGTGCTAGCAATTGTCTGAGTCACAAGGAGATTTCGATCGAAGCAGGAAAAAACTTGACCTTCGGATACGAGCCGGATGACTTCATCCGAAAAAATGAGAGTCTATTTATCTTGCGGGAGTGAGCAATGATATCCTTCGATGGGAAAATCCACAGTTCCATGAAACAGGTATGCTTCTTTTTTCATCGAGTGTTTTACGAGCATTGTGGAAAGGCAATTAAAGTAAACGTCGTGTCTTCTTAATTGTGCCTCGTTCCTTTTTTAACGAGCAAGAACGACAGAGAGGGAAGGTCGCAGGCCTTGACATTGAAGTTCCACTCTGCAGTTTTAAATTCGTTTTTCAACGAATTTGCGTCGTCGAAATTGGCGGACCGTAATAAACGTTGATTCGCTGTTTGCTGCAACTGGGACTCGCCTTTGCTTGGTGGAAGTTTTTGGCTGCCCGTCGGAGCTACGATTAAACAATTTCCGGGGTAGCCTCCGACGTTTTTGTTCCGCAGGCCACCGCGCTACATTCCCGTTGCATATTTATTAGACGTCACGCCCGATAACAATCGGTCGATTGTTTAATTCCTCGTACGCGATGCCAGGCTTCTCTTCGCGCCGCGTCTGTATACGATTGTTCGCGCGAATGCACGATTTTTTCTTTTTATATATATACGTATACACATATATATAGACACATATGTATGTATATTCAGGATACACAGGTGCACGGTCGTGCACGGCCGCGTAGGTGTGTACGCGGTCGCACAAGAGCCTTCACTCGTGCGAATTTCTTTCCATTATAAGCGGGCTTTTGAAGTGCAAGAAAAATAGCCTTCGTTACAATGGGTAATTTTCGTGCCACGGGTTCATTTAGATGAAGAGATTGCGCGTAAAATGCCCTCTTTCTCTCGCAATGCCTGCCTCGAATCTCAGGATTCAGTTAAATTGAATCTATCCAGTATCTCGCGATCTCCGTCATCTTTATAATTTCTGAACAAGATTTTAGTCCCCTCGGCTAATGATCTGCCATTCTTCTGCAGTATCGTAAAGTTTTCTGATCCACAGATGCGACGGTAATTTATGAGACGTTGACCGTATGCAAAACTGTGCACGCGACCCTCGTAGACGTGTATCAAGAGTTTTCCCGTGATCCTAGACTCTACGCAATTTCACCCCCTCCCCCCTCCTCCCCCGTACTCTCCTTGTAGTTACACGTTCACCCGTATGCAGAAACTTGGAACAGGGCTTGTTACCCCATTCGTGTTCGCGACAGCCTGAAAATACCGTCGCACGAACTTTCCCTCTAAGCCCTTAACGAAATTAAACTTCGTACAACTTCGCCGCTCTTCTTCCGCCGTTCTGCTCTCTTTTCTTCGCGCCGGGTCTCTCGCCTATTACCGCGCGGGTTTCTTTTTCGATAATGGGGGACAGCTCGCGAGCTCGAAGCACCGATTAGGATAAAAAGAAGGAAAAAGGCGCGCGCGCGTGTACGAGAGAGACAGAGAGAGAGAGATTTGAAAGGATGGGCGCGGTGCAACGGGTCGCAGGGCGTGCATAGGCGGCTCGTAAAATATCAGGGTCGTGCGAAAATTTCCGCGGCTCGTCCCGACGTTTACGGCCGATCGCCGATCTTCCGTGTCCTTTCTCACGGCTCCGGCGCGCATAGGCGCAACTACGCCAGTTAGACTACACATTATGCGCCGATCGGGAACGGTTACACGAACGAAAAACCTGAAACCGCGAATCGATCACCGTTTCTTCACGTCTGTTGACCTCTCGTTACCGGCTTACTGTCAGTACACCCGACGCACAGTTTGCGAACAATTATCCCGTGTACTCGGCTACATTGAAAGTCGTAGTTTGTTCTCCGAGAGGTTTTTAACACAGTTTTCCACTTCGTTTCGATGCGGAACACGAGCCAGTACTCGAATGTGCACTTGGAGCTATTAAAATACAGAGTACGCGGCTTAGACACCTTTATCGTGGAAACAGCTTCTCTATTAGCGTCCTATTTTTTTTTAAACAATCTAACGTACTTGTTTGGGACATAGCTAGACGTACGATTAAATATATTTGGGATCTTAAATGCAGAGAAGATGCAGAATAAAATTGATTTTAAGCGATAAACGAGCGACTACATATATGGTACTATTTTGTGGGATTACTTATAAATCCAGATAACGAAAACGTATCTTACGTTTATAAGGATAAGTACCTTTGGTACCACGTATTTGTCACACGAGGCTATTATGCCAGTCAGTTGTATACATATGAATGCTTATTACTGGAGGCCTGGATCATAAACACTGTCCTTGGTGATTAGGTGTCCCCCTGATTAGCTCGAAAATTTTCTGAAGAACAGTAAACTCTTCCTCACTTCAAATGGTCCTTCAGAGCCGTTTTAATAAAAGATTATTTCGAATTTCTTTTATTTATTTCTTATTTTAATTAGTTAACATGTTTTATAATGTTTATTCATTTTTTTAGGGACGTGAGGAAACTCTATGTAGATTTCATTTTTTTATATTGACATTTATCTATATTAGATAAGTTCGATTGCATATGATAAGGAGTGAGCGTGGAAAAAGACGGTCTGATCATTGGAGATACAATTGCAATCCACCGCGCCTACTCGATCGTTTTTATTGCGCCGTGATCCGGGCAACGAAGCCGTGGCAGCGATCGCTCCTGCGTTACCGTTATCGAAATCAACCGTTCGGCTGCTGGACGTAAAATAGGAAAGTGCACGAGGACGGCGGATGG